GCGAACCAATCCAGCAGGAACCGATTGTGAAATAAATAGGCAGGAAGAAATGGAGATGGATTGGCCATACTCTGAGGAAACCATCAAGTGACATCACTAGACAAGCCATCGGTCGAGTGTAACCCGAAAGGGAAGCGGCAAGTTGGTCGTCAGTGCAAGGGTTACTTGGAGGAGGTGATGTGAAGAGGAGATGGAAGTATGTGGGTAGACGTGGAGCCAGGTGAAGACGTTAGCAGAGAACCGAAAGCAATGTAGAGGTGTGGTTGAAACCCTATATTTCTCTAAGAATTAAAGGGAATAATAATATTATTATTATAGAACAACCATTTCGACCTAATTCGGGAATCTTCATCAGTTCGCAACCATGACCCAACCACAGTTCGGATCCAGAAGATAGAGCTTACGAAGCGAGTTTGTTGACCATTAGGTCCATGAGACGGAATAAAATGGTCTACTGATTCTAACATATATATATATATACATAGGTAGGTAAGTAGGTAGGTAGGTGGGTAGGTAGGTAGACAGATAGGATAAATAATTAGCATGAATTACTAATTCACAATAACCCTATTTTTTGCATCTGTTAATAACAATTTTTCACATGAACGGTTATTTTTCTTGCCATTTTTTGTCCATTTTAATCCTTTTATCACGTGGTTATACAAAACAAAATTGTTACAATAATTAAAACTCAGACACATTGTTTCTTCGTTGTTATCAAATAACCTTGTATTCTATTGGTCAATCCAGCATGATTCTAACGTGTATCAGTTGCCAATCAATCTCTTGTTGAATACGAGTTGTCCTATGGTGGTGATCCATGTAGACATGAAAATCCAATATACAACCAGGTTTACATTATAATCTACAGAAAATCATAAATTATTGAAGTAAAGTTCACCTTTAGATACCCGAAAGGAGCAAATGCACCTATAAATCACATTGGAACAGTCAGTCAGAACAATCAGACTGTGAAACCAAGTAAACGGTACTATATTCATCGATTGATATGTAATGAGATATTAAGTAGGACAAAAGGTTGGGCATAAATTAAGGTTACGGTTAGGTTAACCTGATTAGATAGATGTTAGGGTTGAGTTAGGGGTCAAAATTTACATTTACGTGCATGTACACCTCATCGATGTCTAAATATTAACAATGGCCTCCTAGAAACGTGGACTGCTGGCAGGCACCATCATGAAATTTCTCCTGTTCGCTTTGTTTTACGGGTTTGAACACGGGTTAACATCAGTTACAGAACCAGCGGAAAACCACCTTGGAGTACTGAACAACGACTGCGTTAGCCTAGTTTGGGACTCTTCATCAGTACACACACCCTGGGATTCAAACCTAAGACCTTTAGGTTACAAGCTAAGCCTGGTAAATCATTCGGTCACTGGGGTCCCGATCCAATAGCCCATGAATTTCAACTTCTTCTAATTAGCGTAACCGCCAGCCAGTATCATAGGCAAGTAAATGATCGCTTAACTGACTCCGTGAACTGATGCTACTAACTACAGATTCTCACTAAAACCCTAGGTTACTTCTTATGGTTGAATAGTCTTCGAGCTCGTCCTGTAAACAAAAAGCTGTGGGTTCGAATCCCGGTGGCGCGAGGGAACTTCCGATGAGTCCCAAACTGGGTTGACGAAACAGCTGTCCAATAGTTCTGTAATTGATGTCAACTCATGATAAGAAACATTGTTTATTTGAGTAATCTGTTTGTTTTGAAAATGCAGAAAAATAATAACAAATAACACTTTCGAGAACTAAAACAACAATTTGTCATGAAATGATGAGATAGGAAAAACAGAAGAAAACACCTGTGTGATATATGACTGTTATGATGACTACAATTCATTTGGCTTCATGACATGCACTAAAATAAAACATCGAACCACAATTCCATATCAGTGATGAATGGAAGAAAAATAACCATCGAGAGGAAAAACAACATGAATGGATATATACATATATATGTAGTGTTGTGAAAGAGAACAAATTGCTTCTTACTTGAAATAACTGTGAAATAAATAAACAGAATTAACAAGAGAGGGAGATCAATGTAAAGTATGGGTTTGGTTGTGGTTGGTCATTCAAAAAGCTGTGGTGACTCTGTGAAGTGAATAGGTATACTGGCAGAGTGGCTTAATTTTGAATAATTTCGGCATTCTTCTTTCTATCTTTCATCCTTTTGTGTTCTGAGTGAGACATAGGGCCCCCACCCCGAGTACAAGCTTTGAGTTTCCAGCAGTAGTGTTGTTTACTTTTCACCCCATACAACCTTCCCTCTTTACCACGCTTAGTACAGGCTAAGTGAAGGTTAAGAAAGCGTCAGCGGGAAGTCGAACCCTGGACCATGTGAGGTGTAGTTGGGGAGCATTCAATTACTGAAACACCAACGCACAACTTCGACATAGTTAATCACTAGTGACATTTTGGGTAACGGTAGATAAGGGTGGAATCGTTTCAGATAGAAAACCATCATTCACCGGGGAAGGTAGTTATATCCAGCCCACGAAACTCAGATGAGACGAAATGTGAGTGCTGGATGTCATTGCTGGCAAACGCCAAGTATCGTAATTGGCACAACATGCTTTCTATTGGGTTGATATTTTATTTTCGATTAGATTCATTAAACTGCTAATCTGATTGAAACAGCACTTGTTATGCATGTCATGCTAACGTCTTCCACGTCAAATAACGTTGATTAATACAGGATTGTGTTGGAAAAGAATTCAGCTTGATTATACATAATTCCAAGAACAGTTCATATGGTCATTCACCGTTGTTTCTAGCTACCTACAGAGAGCTAGACTGCTCAACATAGGTCTTTAAGAGGCTAAGAATCAATAGATTGAGAGTATCCACGATATATGTCAAAAGACTTCTCAATTGCACAGATATATCCTCCCATTTTGGTCTTCCAAATTAGATAAACTCTTATTATTCTCCATTATTCCTATGCCTCACTATGCAAGAACTAGCGTGGAATAATGCTCTTGTCCACACTAAGTGAAGTACTAAGCCACGTCGTCCTGGAGAGAACAAAAGATGCATTGATGCAGAACTCCACCACCCACCGGAACAAAGTGGATTCAGAAAAGGGGAATCATGTGCTGATGTATTTGCAGCTCTACGCACCGTTATCGAACAAAGCATAGAATGGCAGTCAAACCAGAACTTTACCTTCATCAATGTAGAAAACGCCTTCGACAGAGTAGATCAAGAAGTAATTTGGAAACTACTTCAACACTACGGCGTACCTCAAGTCTTTATCAACCTCATTCAACAGCTGGCTATATGATAATGCCACGTGTCAATTGATCCACAACGGAAAACCCATCGAGGTATTTGAATTAAAGACGGGTAAGACAAGACTGCCTATTATCACCGATGATATTCTTGATTGTGGCAGACTGGATTATGTACCAGACTGTAGGAAGCGAGAAGGCAGGAACACACTCGACACCGATAAAAAACCTCTAGGTGTTCTGCATTAAGAAGATAATTTATGTTTGATGTCATAAAAACGCGAAGATGCATAGGCAAAAACTAACAAACTGGCTGAAGAGGCAGAGAAAACAGGATTCTAGGTGAACATAGAGAAGACTGAGGTGATCAAGATAACCTACCAACATCAACAGCAAACACAACCAACACCAATTACAATCAACGCGGGAGATTTGACGAAAATTACCTCCTTCACTTATCTGGAAAGACACCGTCGTTTCAACTACAGGTTGAACGGATGAAGATGTCAGAGGCATCCAGAATTGGATAGGCAAGATACACCTTCATCAACCTGAAATCAGTATGAAATCTTGGTCGCTCAGCGTAAAGAAAAAGATTCAGATTTTCAACACAAATGTTAAGTAAGTCAGTTAGTCCTTCTACACGGGTCAAAAACTTGGCCAGCATGTCACGAAAAGGATTACCAACAGGTTGCATAGTTTTATTAACAACTGCCTTCGCTGGCTCCATACTGAAGATCAAATGTCCAGTCAGAAAGAATAAGTAACAAAAAACTCTATGGTGGAACAAACCGGCCAAGAGCCGGTTGCTCTACAAATATGTAGGAAAAACTGGAGATGGATAGGGCACACACTAAGGAGGCCGTCGAATGACATCGCGCTCAATGCAGGCCATCGCTCGAGTGGAATCCCAATGGAACGTGACGAGTGAGTCTTCCAAGGGTGACATGGGAATCGTGTGGTGAGGAGGAGATGAGAGATTATGGATAATCGTGAAGCCAGCCAGCTGAGGAGTACAGGAGTGAAGATGTGTTGTTGAATCCCTATGATCCATTCGGAACACCTGAGAGAATAATAATAATATATATTTTCAAACTGGTATGTCCCTGAGAAGAAGTATTCAAGTATGAATAATTATCATATACATAACCAATAAAAGATTAGACAGATAGAATAAGCAAGTGTAAGCCTCATGGATGAGAATATCAAGGCCAGCCAGGACCGGTAAAACGAGATAGGCGTTCATTACTCTGAAAGTCTACAACGTTTATCACATAGAACAATATTCAAGTATTTAAAAGTAAAATCAAGTCAATGTCCCTACATGGCTCATCAAAATAAAAAACTCCCAACAAGCTGTCGACTTTCATCAATAGATGTCTTCTTTCAATTGTGAAGATCATCAGATGACTAACGCGAATCATCCAAGAAGCGACTACCCGACAGAAATGCGGAAGGAAAAGAAGATGGTTTGAATATATGTTGGGGAGACCGTTGCGTGAGACCACACGGCATTTCCTCGAGTGGAACTCGAATGAGAAGAGAAAGTCTGATGTTGAGTCTAAGGGTAACATGGAGATGTTGTGAGTAGGGAATTTAAAACTTGTGGACAGTTATAGAACCAGGGGAAAGCGATAACAGTGAATTAAGGGTACTGCATGTTTTACTCTGAGGCTGTATGTCCCACTCAAAATAATTAATCATAATTACAATAATAATAATAATAATAATGATGGATGAACTTACTTTCCCTGTTCATGGAGAATAGTAACTGAATCGATTACTGTGGCTGTTAATTCATCAACTGAATGTGTTTCATTCTCTGTAGATGACTCTTTGATCGTCGGCTGTCTGCTCTTCTGATTACTCTTGGATACTTTTGTACTTTGTTGGAGAATCTTTATTGAATGAAAGGGTTAGAAAGAAAGATGGATCAATAAAAATGATGGATGGAAATATATAAAATTTAGATTATTTCACTGTGATTTTTAAACATTTTTATTCATACTATATATATATATATTCATTGTTAATTGAAATTTAAAACAGAATAAATTAATTTCAGTCTGTCTTCATTGAAAGCATATGTGTAGAGATATTCATATTTTCGAAACACTGCAATTGAATATTGGCACTAGTGCCAAAGTTCAACAATAGCGTCCCAAGGGATGCGAATGCACGAGTGAACTTCAGCCGACCAATCATAAAAATGGGCAACTTTGCACACAAAAAAACGACGTATATTTACAAGAAAATGTATGAAAACACATGAAACAGGGTATCTTTCTCTGACATGACTTAAAAATACGTCCCACTTATAATGAGGAGTATCAGTTGCTAAGTTAGACAAGTTTCTGTACATGTATTCTCCGAGATAACTGAAGATGAGCTGTTTTTGTCAATCAGTTATCTCTCTTGTCCTGTTGTGTAGTCTCTCCAAAAAGCCCTCGGATGAATTACTATGGTGTACAATAAGAGGATCGACGACTACTTACCAAGAAAATATGGATAATAAAACAAATTAAAATAAATGACATCAACTCCACATCTATCCCTAATCGTAACCCTAACCTGAATCCTGACCCTAAAGCTAACCTTAACATTAACCCTAATCCTAATCATAACTCTTATCGAAACCGTAATTCTAACCTCAATACTTACCTTAACCCTAATCCTAACCCTAACGAGCTATTAACACATTGTCCAAACAGTACTTAAAAACGTGATCTGGGTTAAATTTGCTGCTTAGCTGATGAATAAGGTTGATATTTCAGCTATGATAATGACAGGTGCCGTCAGCCAACAACTAGCATACGTTAAAGGTCATTGGGGCGTTCGCACTCCTGGGACGCTCGTTATTGTTGAACTTCGCCGTAATATTTTCACATTAATACGATTCAAGCATGAAATAATATCAACTTAAAAATCACCACTGATTTCAACGAAGACTTACTCTTCTCTCCATTATGGATAAAATTTTATTTTGATATAGTCTCACAATGTTATACAGTAATATTTACTGGTGACAACGTTTCGAGCACAATTTGTTACCGCTCATAATCATATCAAGGCACTCACATGCAACTTTCTTGCTTTATTTATACACATAAGTAAAAACTGATAATTAGACATTTGAATAAAATCAATATAAGATACTCTACCACAATGCGCAAGTTTTATGCTCATATCAAATTACTCTTTTCATTTAGTATGATATTATTCTCAAGCTGTACAGTCATTTGTATATAGTAAATTGTTATCTTAGCAACAAAAGGAATATTTTCAAAAATGTTTCATTACAAACTATAAATGTTTTTTAATACCAAATTACGTGATATAAAAAGCGTTAATCGGGTAGAAACTAAAATAAAATTCAAAAATTAAATTGAATGACAATGTATTTATTTATTTATTATGGCTTGACTCCACACCGTAATTTTTATGTAAGTATGAAATTTTCAGCATATGATATCGGTAACCCGAATTTTCTAGGCCGACCATTGCATATTAGGTGTGCATTGGCAGGGGATCGAATACCAGACCATCTGCATGGTCGGCGAGAGTCCCAACCGCTGTGCCACCAACGCACAATTGCGGTTAACCAGTTTTGAAGAGAGTGTACATCAAAAAGAACATTGTGTCTGTATAGAGAAACAGGAAAACAACGTTACATAAGATGGTAGTAAATCATAGTGTTAAAGACGTTTTTGAATTCATTGCTAACGCAGATGATATCAGTGTAAATGGGAAGCAAATGCTATCCTTAGATGTAGAATCACTGTTCACCAATGTACTACTTATGGAGACTGTCGAATTGATATACAAACAGATACTAGAAAAACAGTTTGACATCGGAATTCCAGTTATTAGTCTGAAAGGGTTGCTTTTGAGATGTACTATGAATGTACACTTCACATTCAAAACCTTTATTACAGACAAATCGACGGCGTTGCCATGGGTTCTCCATTGGGGCCAATTTTGGCAGGTTTTTTCTTGCTAAGGTTGAAAATGGTCCATTGAAACAAGTAATAGACAAAACTGATTCTTATTTTCTTTATGCTGATGATACGTTTATTATTCTTGATGTGAAAGCTGACAAGAATGAAATTTTAATAAAATTTAATGATGCACATCCATCGCTCATCTTCACTTGTGAAGAAGAACATGATGGTAGACTACATTTCCTTGACGTCCAATTGAGCAGAAGAGAGGATGGTTCACTCAAGAGAGGTGTCTATAGAAAACCTACATCTGTAGGACAATATACACATTTCCTCGGTTTTGTACCGATCCGATACAAAGTCAATTTGGTCAGATGCCTCACGAATAGAGCAAAACGTATCTGTACAGAGGACTCCCTACAAAATGAAATAGGATACATCCAAAATACGCTGGTCCAAATGGGTTATCTTAGTAGACTTGTAAGAAGACGTATGAACACCAAGTACAATAAAGAGAAACTGATAACAGTTAAAAAGAAACAACTGTTCATGAAATTGCAATTTAATGGGGACGTGGCTAGCGAAGTCTCACATCTGAGATTATTGAGAGCCATAAAACGGACTTATACTGCCGCCACCCTTTGTTTGTCATTTTCCAGCCGACCAGTTATGATTGCTCAAGTGAAAGACAAGCTACCTAGCTGTGCCACTTCTATGTGTATCTATAAATTTAGTTGCTCCTGTGGAGAAAGCTATATAGGGCGAACAACTAGACAGCTTAACAAACGCATTAATGAGCATCTTCCTTCATGGTTCAGAAAAGGTCAAATAAAATCTATAAGAAGTTCTATTTTGGCTCATTTGATTGATAGCAGTCACCAAGTGGACAAAAAAGTGCCTTCAAAGTTATCTGTCGCATTCCATCGAGCCTTTCGAACGGAATTCGAATCCGTCTTTTACACATAGCCGAAGCTATGGGAATTCGAGAGAACAATCCTAGTCTTTGCATACAAAAGAAGTTTGTTCTACCTTTGTCTCTCCCTTGGCCTAGGTAAATTCTATTCAAAACCCTCCCACCCTTTCTTATTTTCCATCTCCTTCGTATTTTTATGATATTTATTTAAACTCTGATTATCTGTCCACTTAACCTTTAGTATTACGTAACTTTTAAGATTTGACCTAATTTATTTATTGAATTGTCTACATATACACATATTACTCACTACCTTCGTTATTCTTATCGCCACCTGCATAAACCTTATTATCAATATTTTGTTGTCATTATAATCATCGTTATTAACTACGTTCAAAACATTTACCACATTATTATTATTATTTGATCCACAAAATCACCGTCATTGGTTAAAAATTTTTATATATAAATCTATGTAAATTAGAGTAAAGCCTGAAGAAGATCTAATTGAAAACAGCAATACTGTTTGCTTATATGTCTTGTCCTAACGTTAGAATAGTCAAATGTTACACTTATATTCATCACAGTTGCTTGCAAACCACGCATGTAATTGATGGGATTGAGTAGAATTCAACTCAAAATTGAACGAGAATCAAGTTTAACAACAGTGGCGATAAGGGATGGAAATTTAATATATCTGGTGTTAAGACATATCAGGTCCGTTGTCGTCTTAGCAGCTGAACAAATTTATCGTGTATGCCACCAATGCTTCTGCGGTTTGAAGAAGATTGATTTGTACACTTTTAGCAAGAATCCCGCGTATTCTATAGATGACTCTGAAGTAGGCTTGTGAGTTCGTTTGGTATCCAGGTTTGGTCAGGTGTTCAAGGACTGAACCGTGATGGGGAGGTCGTTTTTATCCTTTGTAAAACCAAGAGGTTAAGTGTTCATTGATACATCTGCATATCAAACGCTGAGTACGGCCGACATACCTAGCTCCACACGGGCAGTTGAACTGATTGATAGTTGCGCATTGATGAGGTGGTCAGCAGTGGTAGCTTATCTTTCATGCGCTTGCGAATCATTGGTTTCGTAGAGGAATTTCTACCACATATTACCACTGTTGTTAACTTGACTCTCATCCAATTTTAAGTTGAATTCCACCCAGTCGCGTCAGTTATATTGCGTCACTCAATCTACTAACTAAATTGTATTTTAGTTTCTACCGAATTAATGCTTTATACATCACGTAATTCGACTCCACATTAGTTTAGATATATCACACAGTGATACAGTATTATTTACTGTCTGACAAAGTTTTGAACACAATTTATTATTGTTCATAATCATGTCAGTTATAACTACACCACTTTGAAATTATCGTCTTATAGTTTTTCTTTATTCCTTCCTATTTCTTGTCGTAGGTGCAGTAGAATTTTCCAGATATCTGGGACAGGTGTTGAATCATTCCTATTACACGTGTTTGGAGTTGATTCGATAAACAAAGCTTCCGTTATCAATCTCTCCCTCAACCCTGCTGTTACATTAGATTTTAAAACTGTCATCTTATCCCATCCATCCTTTGTGTGGTTGTGTGTAGTTGCATGTAGTGAGTAGTATAGCTGAACTATTCTCCAGATTTCTTATCTTATTCGGGTTAACCAATCTAGATTTCGCTGCGAGGTTTTTATGCTCGGCTAGTCTGACTGTACCTGTTCTACCACTTTGACGTATGGATTTGACCTGACAATCATTGCAGGTGGGGCATAAGATAAACTAAATGGTTTTGTTTTATTGGCTCCATGGGAGTATTCTTTTAACCTACAAAGCTTGTTTCTAATTGAGTTTATGGGTTTGGATGCCACGTTTTGTAATTTGTTATCTGAAATTTACACTTCTAATGATATTTCTTTGGAAATATTCTTTTGGTGCTTAGATAACAATTTACTACATATGCGCGACTGTACAGCTTGAGAATAATATCGCTGAAAAGCCTAACTCTTCGAGGATTGTCTTTTCTTTACTATAACTCAGTGGAGATTGCCATTTAGATAAATGATGATATATATGATTTTCGTCCTGCAATTTATTGAAAAGAATGCTCACAAGCTGAACATGATAGATCTATAAAATGTACCCTAATCATGGTAATAAAATATCATAATAGGGAATCAGTTAAATACCTTGTCATTCACATTACTGGAATGCTATAAGGCACTACTGACTGACTGATGTAAGTAGTTAAAGAACACCAAAGTCAGTTAGTTTCTAGTACTTATCAGCCAGATCAAGGTGATTTGAACAGCCGAAGGTCGTCGTATCTCAAAAACGTTATTTCATAGTAAGAGTTATGCTAAATAAAGGAGTATGGCAGAGTTTTTAGAACGAGTAAAAACAACTCAATTGTGAAGAGGGATTCACTCAGCCTAAAAGTTAAGTAAAATTGCTCAATAAGGCTTGAAATACGATACTGTGGTAGAGTATAACTCCATATTAGATACTTTTATTTAATTTAACAGACTCGGTGTTACAGGATTAAAATCCAGCTGACGTTTCGAGCACAATTAATCGATCCTTATAATCATATGAATTTATTCACGTGACTTAGCGGTTTGTGTCATATATAAATATATTCTCTCCCCTGTTGTTTGTTACTACTTTCCACATCTCCGGAATAGTCGTTGTGTCCTTTCAATTGAACGTGTCTGGTGTTGAATCGATAAAGCTCCAGTGATTGATCTCTCTCCCTCTCTGCACCTAACTATATTCTTCTTTAATACTCTTAACCTGTCCGCCCCACCTGTTGTGTGATAACATACAATGCAATGTAATGGCCGAGCATTTTTCCTAAGTTAATTAACTCAGCAGGGTCAATCATTCTAGCTGCAGCTAAATGTTTATGTTCCAATAGGCAAATTGATCCCAATCTACTATTTTCACCTACGTAATTGATCTCATGGCCATTACATGATATTTGGTCAGTTATATTATTTTTCTTAATTCGATCTATCGAGCCCTTAGTCAGACAGTGTTTGTCTGTGAGTAAGCTGGTTGATTGGTTTGAATACTACCCTAATTGTAAACTCATTGAGAATCCTAAGTAAGGCCTCCGACGTTCCTTCTTCATAAGGCAGTTCTACAGAGACTGCGAATCGTACATTATTTTCTTCGTCATTTTCATTACAAATCTAATTTTTTCGATGGTTATTTATATGCTTCTGAATAAATTCCGGTGAGTAGTGTATTACCATTGATTGATTTCATTATGTGAATCTTCTGACTTACGAGTTAGTTAGGCTTCTGGCCCGATTATATAGACACTTTAACTAAATCTACCTTTACTGATTCTGTATGAGATGAATTAAAGTCTAAGGATTTATTAGAGTGTGTATCGCTTTCCTAAAAATGCGAAATAGTAATGAACCCACCGTTTTGTTTTCGTTTTATTTTATAGTCTAGCATAGCCAACTCACCTTGTCAGTTTTCTTATTCAAAAGCAAGTTAGATTCCAGCAAGCACTCGGTTTAAATGTGTGAAGAACTTAGAAATATGTTCAAAAAATTTGCCAAAGGAATTTTGTCAGACTGTGAGCATCCACTTTACTTAACTGCAGCTCCAACCTCGTGTCTCCTCAGGTAAAACAAGAAGTCTTTTCAGAAGACTTTATGCACGTCCGTCTAAGTATAAAAACTCCACGATACCATATTTGGCACGTACTTCATGTGATGAAAATAGTGTTAGGCATGAACTAACTAACCTTCTTTGCACTAGTAATGAAACCGTTTTCGCCACCCTTATAACATCAAGCTTTATTATTATTGTTCTTCTTAAAATTTATAATCCTCTCAGTTTTTTGTTTTTATTTGTTTATTTTTTCATAAGTGTGAGCATCATTTAAGCTGTGTTGTAACTGTTAATTTTAAATTTCCTCTCACCATACTAGAACATACTAGAACCGACAGAACATTAAATTCAATACTCTATAACATGCTAAAGTTTTCAAACTGAATCGCCAACACTGTTTGAAACAAACTCACTCTTATTATTATATTTGTTATTCTCATTTTGTACTTAAAATATTTTTGACTTTATTTCGTAAATGTGGACAAATTCCTCTGGTTAATTTTGTTTTAATTTTATTTATATTCTGAGTAAATCAGATGCAATATTGTGACTAATGCTGAGAATTCCATTCTGTATTATAAGTACTGTTTTTGGAATAAAGTAGATTATCATTATCATTATATTTCGACACATTGAATATATGTCATCCACATATCTTCACTACAGCCTAGAAGCAGGATTAAGCGTCCTAGGAGCGTTATATTCCCAGCTGAAACTATGGGGCATCTTGGTGACGGTCACAGTGAAGTAAGCGCTGAAGATGTTATCGAAAAGTCATTCGAAAATCTTAGGGTAAAGCTCTTAAACAACAGATACCAAACGACCTTGAAAAATAAACGCTCGTATCCAAATCATGGAGCAGAAGGAGACACTAGTTGTTCACTTCGTATTCAAAGGCGAGACCACTGAAGAACTTAAAAGTCGTCCATCCAAGAGTATCTAAAGCACTATCTATGCAGCTGACTTACACCTTTCATTGACGAGTGTGAGTTTGATTCAGAAATGTGTCAAGAATAAAGTATGACTCATATTCACTTTTGTATCTATTAACCTTTTCGCCAGTTACTGCCAGACACTGTAATTGAGCTTTCCGGAAAGGGGTAGCTGGATAACACCCAGTTTAGTTGATGAATGACAAACACAAGATAAAGACGTCTTCTTTTTGTGAGTACCTTCTTGAGCTGAGTTACACTGTCACAAGTGATCGAGCCTCCAAATTTGTCTACAGGGCTAAATTCAGACACTTTAAGCACAGCCAAAGCTCCATACATACATGAACGAAATTCGGAAGCATCCACCTAAAAACGTCTTTACCCTGATTACTTTCATGTAAATTCATTCTTTCTTTGTTTTCATTTTTGTTGTTATGATCATCGTAATTATTTTCACATTATTTAACTCAATTTAAACCTCTAAATACTAATTTATTATTTTAAATAATTGATTTTTTGCATTCCAACTCTACCACACCCCCACCTCCTTGAACATCATGTTAATTATTATTGTCATTATCATCATTATTATTATATTTTATGTAAACCTCCTCTCACATTAAAAATACATTGATACACGAAAACAGAACAATAATTAATTCAGTAAAAATGTCATAGAGAAGTTAGTCAACGTGGCACACTGATGGGAATGTTTAGTGACTTATTGTGAAGGTAGTTTAGGAAAACTGCCTCAACTCAGAAGACGAATGTATCTGTGCTGATTTTGCAGATTCAACGGATACAGATTGAGATCTTGGATAGGATGATCGAACTTCTAATTATATAATCATAAGTAATGCATATGATGGACAAAACGTCTAATTATTATAGTGATAAGCAACAGCTTGGGAGCTTTTCATTTTAAAAATTCTTCCTCTAGGTGTACCAGCTGAAATTCCCCTGAATCGTCGATTCGTTTGACATAAGATTTCATACTTCAGTATATATTATTATCATTGTTTCATTTAGTTCCTAGAGGAACCTTGGGCTTCAGCCACACGTCTCCACTGCATTCGGTTCTCTGCTAACGTCTTCAGCTGGCTCCAAGTCTGCTCACATGCCTTCATCTCCTCTTCACATGACCTCCTCCATGTCACCCTCGTACTGACGACCAACTCACCGCTTCCCGTTCGGGTTCCACTTGAGTGATGGCTTGTCTAGCGATGTAACTCACTTGGTGGTTTTCTCAGACTATGGCCAGCCAATCCACCTCCATTTCTTCCTGCTTATTTGTTCCACAGTCGGCTCATGCTGGGTTGGCTCGCTCCCAGAGATCCTTCACTATTGCTGATGTTTCCTCGCTGGCCATCTGATCTTGAGTAGCACTGAGCGAAGACAGCTGTTGATGGAGATCTGTAGTTTGTTTGAAGTGCCTTTCGTGACGCGCCGCGAAGCCAAGTCTCTTATCCGTATAGTGAGCAGCTCTGAATTCACATTCAGGTTGAAAATCCGGACCTTATTCTTCATGCTGAATGCTGTTGACCTCCACACAGACTTGAGGGAAATGAAAGCTTGTCTTGCTTTCTTGATCTTTGCTTTGATATCCTCGTCAGTTCCGTCAGGCTGTAGTTGATAGGTAAAGTAGGTTGCTTCTCTCAGATTTCTCCCATTTAGGCTGGCTGATTGTTATCTGTTGTTGTTGCTTCAGTATACAGGTACTAACTTTTTAACTGATATTCTATTTTGGTAGGCAAAAAGTCTAATAAAGGGAGGAAATCTGGAAACACTCACCTCATCCATTTCTGTCCTTGACTGTATTCGATTCGAAGTGACATCTAAATCACCTAAACTCTCAGTAGTGGTGATTGTTGTAAGGATAGGAGTATTGATAGAACTTGTGATAGTAATATTATTATTATTATTACTATTGTTAGTGAAATTTCTCAGTTGACTTAATAATCGCCATTCATTATTGGCAAAATTTTTCAATTCTTGATAGAAGTCGTCTATAGTTAATGATTCAGAAATGCACTGAAAAATAAACAAAAAAGGCAAGATTATCGGGATTTATTTTCATTTACACATGTGATGACTAGTGTTGTTGATGTTCAAGACAAATCAGTTAATACATATTACATAATAAACCTGTTACTTGACTTATCCAGGCAGCATCTTCTCAACAACAGGCTACAGCACGGATGAGGACGTCAAAACCAGCCATGATCGGAAAGGCAAGACAGACATTTGTCACTCTGAAATCAGTTTGAAAATCTTCTGCACTCCACAGCATAAAGAATAGGATTTAGATTTTCAGCACAAATTTAAGTCAGCATGCCACAGCGATAGAATGCTCGCCAACCACGCCTCATGTGGTTCGAGTTTCGATCCCAAGCTGAAGTACTCTTTTACTTCACCAAGCCAGTAATTAGACTGGTAAAGAGGGAAGGTTGGGCATGAGGCCAGTAACCATATCTCGGAAAATTAAACACCACTGCTACCGAAACTTCAAGTTTTTAGCTTGAAGCCCTATGTTCCACTGGAAACGTAAAGGAATAAAAAAAATTCAAGTTAGCGCGCCACGAGAAACCTTTCTAAAAGGCTATTGCAGACCTTTATCATTAGCTGCCTTCACTGACTCCTTGTTAAAGGTCGAACGACCAGAAAGAGTTAGCAACATGAAACTATGAGGACAAACTAATCAAGAACCTGTTGCGCAACAATTATGGAGCAGAAAATGAAGATGGATTGCGCACACACTGCGGAGACCGTTGGCTGACATAGCGCGCCAGGCAGTCGCTCAGTTGGCACCCGAATAGGGGACGACAAGTTGAATATGGTTTGAAGAATAGCATCGACGAGATGGTACGAGGAGGAGATCACAGAACATAGGCAATCGTGAGGCCAGATAAAGAGGACCTCAGAGAATAGGACAAAGTGAAGATGTACTACTGAAGCGGTATCTTCCACTCAGAACACCAGGAAACAATAATAATAATTTTAATTTCGGGTAGTCTGCAGTAGCTGATGAGAACCTGTGAAATAGAATAATGATATCATTTTATCCCACAAATCTCATCTTTCTTTCTTAATCGATATTTTCTCATTTGCATTCACACAAGTCTACTAGAGCTCTGGTTGTGGCAGAGTAATTTGGTGGATAGAGTTTTGGCGTCTGAACTGATGGATACTGGCTTCGAATCTCGGTGGGATTACCACCAATAACTTTGCGTGTAGTTAGATTCATCAGATGAAACACGCTCTGTAGATTCTACAACCACATGAAAGCATTAAGTATTCACACACCTTTTCATACGCTAGACACAAATATCGATATACTCTTTTCTCTGTCTAGACGAGTCTTATAACCAGTTCTCTTTTCCATCTGTATTGAAGAATAAAAAACTTAATTGTAACCATCATAGCATGAATACAATGATGCTATTAATAGTAATAATAATGACGATAATGAGAAATAAGGAAAATTGTTAGAAGCAACTCTTTTCAATGAACAAAGTGAACTCATTTTTGTTTTACTGGAATTATGTTAGTTAGTATTCCATTCTCTTTTTTCTGTTATTAAAACTAGAATATTGGAAAATGGATATATGATATATGAACTGGTGGCAGTTGGAATTCATGGGCTGGCTATTGAGTTAGCTGAAGCGGTCTGCAAGCTCAGCTTATAACTGAAAGGTCCTGCATTCGAACCTTGGCAGTAGGTTGGGTGAGTACTGTCGATGGGCACCAGATTAGGCTGACGAAAAAGCTGGCTGTCCAGTACTCTAGTACCGCTTTTCAACGGCTTCCTGCTAATATCAGTCCGCGGTCAAACTTGAAACAAATCAGATCACTACAGAGAAGCATCTTTTTTCCTGATATTTTAAAATAAGTATTGAGTAATGGGAAAAATTTACCCCTCCTACTTTACTTTCCATGGAAATAATAGTGAGCATTGAAAATTAATTGAACACTACTCTGGATTTATGTATGTGTGTTCATATTTGTGCGCACCTAATATTTTCAAGAGTATTCTTGTAGTGATTTCACAAGGTTGACTGCCCCAATCATTATCAACCTCATTCTATAGTTATATGACGATGGCACGTGTCAAGTGATCTACGGCCGAAAACTCAATAAAGCCTTTGAAGTGAAAACAGGCATAGACAAGCTTGCCCACTATCCCCCACGGTGATATTCCTAACTGTGGTAAACTGGATCATTGTTCTCTAAGACATAACTCGACTGAAACTCAAATGGGAAACGACGAGTTGGACGTTGATCCAAGAATGACTTGGAGGAGATCGGGTGAGGAAAAACACGAAACCAGCTAAAGAAGATTGCAGAGAACAAAATGAATTGGAGACGTCCTAGTGAAGCCCTGTGTTCCAAATGGGACAATTATTGCTCGCTTTCTTCGTGGAGTGGAAGATTTCAGCAGCACACCACTATGGCACACACTTCTCTGTTGTCACATTTAGCTGGCTTCACCATCACCCACAAGTTTTGTTTTCCTTCCAAAGTCAGACTTAAACTCACGCCAAACTCGTTACTTTCCATTCAAGTTCAACACAAAGGCCTCTTTGGCTATGTTTAATCCATTCTCATTTCCATCTGCGTGTTAGGTGGGCAACAGACTGTTTCGCTGCCAGAGTTCCCAGTTTGAAATGACTGATTTACCAAGCTTTTCTTATTGAAATGTTCTGGTTATTCCATTCCTAAGATCCCTGGGAAATTACAACTAAAAAGATGTCTGTGTCGAATCTTCAAAGTTATACAAGCACATAAGTAAAACTGCCAAATTTTGTCTTCTAACTATTATAATATATAACGAGAGGTCCTAATTTCAAATCCATTCAACTATTTATTTATTTTTCACTTTTTTATTTTTGATTACAGCTTGATACCACACCGTACTTTCAGTACAAGTATGGAATTTTCAGCATGGATATCGGTAGCCCAAATTTTGCAGGCTGACCATAGATATCGGGTGTGCGTTGGCAGGGGATCGAACCCCGGACCATGTGCATGGTCGGCGAGAGTCCTAAACCCTGCCACTCCTGCCACACCTCTCGTGTAAAATGTCCACCGAGGAACTGTATCTCGAAGACACGGAACAATGAATGAAACATGCATAATAACTATGAATTGGCTTTCCGCTGTTCAATATTTAATATTACCTACTTTACAAGGGTAGAAACAGACTGAGGAAGAAAATTAGGTCAAAATAGGAAAGGAAGAAATAAAATAAAACTAGGGAGTAATAATTAAATCACAAAAAGTAACAATGTCAGAAATTTACAAGTTGAAACATGAATATTATGAATAATAATTATTACATTTTTTGTTTTTAAGCCTAAAGAATTACTAATCGATTGAAAATATTGTTCTTCCGGTGGAACAGAATAAGGCAAGACACACTGTATTTTTCTAATAGAAAGTGTTGTCAGAGTTATAATACTATCACCTTTTAAATAACGTTGACTGTTTGACAGACTGAGTGAATAAGGAGTACCAAGACCTGCAAAGAAGTGCTGTGTTTTATGATGTCCTACACCTTCATTATTATAATTGCTCCCTTGGGTTCCCAGTGGAATATAGGGCTTCAGCAGTACATCTCCACTTTGTCCTATTTCCTGCTGTCCTCTTTAGTCGGGCCTACGATTTCTCATTTCTTTCACCTCTTGTTCGCACGATCACCTTCATGTCACTCTCGAAGCGAGGCGAAGTCCTGGTCTTCTAGAGTCATATTATCGGTCTGGTGTATTCGTGTTTTCTCGCTCCCATGCACATTCTTCGTTATAATTCAGTCTAACACTATCAGGAATATCAGTGATAGTAAGCAGGCTTGTCTTACTCTTGTATACACTTCAGACGCGTACACCTCAATAGAAGTACTTATTGAGGAAATAAAAAGAAATATAACGGATCTTCAGTAGAGGAAGGAAGGAATGGATATTTCTGAGCCATTGTGAATAATATTTCTGTAGCGATTGGACTAATTTTCCGGGTAAGGGTCACTAACCCTACACCCAACCTTCCCTTTTATCCAGGCTTGCGACTTACTAGAAAGTTAGTAAAAGCTAATAAAGTAGGCAAGGGTGATATGGAGGAGATCGTGTGAGTACGAGATGGGAAACTGACTAAAAAGAACTGCAGAGAACAGGACAAATTGGAGATGTACTACCGAAGCCCTATGTTCCACTCAGAACCAGAGGGAATAATAATATAGTGTAATAATTGTGAACGATTTATTAAAATGGTGTTAAATATCACAATAACAACATTGTGAATAATCCTCGTCTAGATTTTATTGAAAAAGTAACCTGTAGTTCAGCGAATAGGCTTCATATGAAATTTACTTGAACCTGGATTTCAGAGGAGACTTAGCTGGCTAAATCCATAAAACAACAACTTCATCACCTCTGAGAAGAACATTCTTCTCAGAAAAGATGAGAGTAGTCTTCTCCGGTCATCCATTGTTCTGCAGAAGATTTGAGGAAAATTTCAAGCATCTGACCACATTTATGTGCTTATATCACTTCACCTGTTCTTACTGAGTCAGGCATATTGGTCGTCAGATGCATATCCTGTCTAAGAGCTTCCAAGGAAACTATCCAGACTGGCTGCAGAAAGGTTGTATTGACTATTTCAGGAGTGGGATAATCAAACACCTTGTCAACACTGGCCATTTCGTCTCAACAAACTCCTCCTCCTCCTTCGAACCCGACCGATAGCTGCTACCTTGACGTGGTGGTCGGGCTTGCACATCGCAATGACCCAACAAGCTGCACTGGCTGGAACTATTATTCCTACAGGTCTTACCATGTCAGGAATATTGTTAGGATCGCGATCAGACTAAAAGCAATTACCGGAATGGCGTAAAAATTTTGTTTACACTATGCTGTGGGTCTGTGGGCGAAGTCGTACTGCTGGGGAATAGGGAGGTAACAGCAATAAGGTGTTTCCCTCAGACAACCAGCATGTCAGCTCATCTGTTTCTCCGTTGTGGAGAGAGGGATTTAGAGAAGGTAGACCCCAACAATTGTACATCCCAACTTACCCTACGGTAGTCCTTAACCGGCTGTAAGTTTACTAATACAGAGCCAATCCCAGAAGCCAGTTCAGACAGGTCGTGTGTGACCGGCCACAAGCAGCTGTGCCCTTGGCTCTGCAGTCAAAAACCCTATATACATATATATGTATTTATATATATATGTATATATAAATATATATATATATATATATATATATATATATAGGTAAAGGCTTTCTTAAACATCTGTCTTCTGTCGACACTGAAGATCAAATGGCCGGCTGGAAAAGATAAGCAACAGTGAACTCTAGAAGATAAAGAATCAGCCTGCAAGCAATTGCCTAACCAGTACGCAATAGGAAATAGACACATACTGGATATGACCTAAGAAAATCATCAAGAGATCTAATACGTCGTGTCCTCCAGTGGAATTTGAATGAGAAGTGGTAAGTTAGGCGTAAAAGTATAACATGAAGGAGACTATTTGAGAGGGGAAAACGAGAGCTTGTAGAAGGTAGAGAACTAGGTGCATTGGAAATGTTCGGTTGAAACCAGTAGAGACGAAAGGAACGATGACGATTAATAACAATAACAATGACAAACTTCATCGTTTGCATTGAGGTTTATTCACCGACGATTTGTACTCAGTATTCAGTTAATCCAATATTTCATATTTGTACCAAAAGTACTGTTTTGAATAAAGCTATTATTTTTTTAAAGTTCGTTTGTAGAGATTTGATTTTGTTCAACTATAGCCACGGATTGATATCAGTTAAAGAACCATTGAAAACGAGTAGTGAAGTACTGGACAACCGTTTCGCCTTAGGCTGAGACTTTTCATCATTGCTCACACAAAGTGGTGCGAACCCAAGACCTTCGGGTTACAGGAAAACTTCGTAGACCATTCAGCCTCTGAGAGTGAACTTAATGACTTGTGAATCTTAACATCTTTCAATTTGTAATTTCAGGGCGACCACCATCCAGTATTATCGGTGGCGAGTATTTGTCTTCACTCCCGGCCTAGTGAACCCCACCTCTCAGTAGAACTCAAAATAACTTCTGACTGACTGGTATCGACATAGAGAAATGCACAGAAGTGAAGCAGTTCTATTTGCCAAACGCCATAGAGCCCACAGAGGAAGACAAAAGAGAGAAAAGAAGAGACTCTAAAGAATGATAATAAGCAGAAATGGCAGATAGTAAGCAGCCACTGTTTCTTAGAATCCAGAGGACCCCAACCAAAAAGTCTACACTTCCTTACGTGGCTGTCTGGTTGGCTTAAATCAACTGTTATGGATTTCATTGACTGATGAAACCATGTTTTGGTTTGATCACCACTAGCTCTTTCGCAGACCATCGAGGAAGGCGATTATTCAGGGTGCGTAACACATGTTCCTAGCCATTTCAACCGATGAAGCTTGACAATCTCGTCAATTGATTTCCCTAGGTAACTTCGTCCCATATCCAGTCACCAGCAAACATCAGATTGTTATTTCTAAATATCATTGTTATTTTAAAACATATTAGGCAGATAATTCAGTGCAAAAGTAGATAAATGCTTCTTACCTTATTACAGCCAGATCTGAGGATTTTATTCGTGAGGATTCTTTTCTGATCTAGAGAACTGAAAAAAACATATAGAAAAATCACCTGGTTAGGCAATGTTAGAAGAAACTGTAATGTGGCTCATTTAATATTTGTAATTTGATATCTGGTTCAAAGTAATCGTGTCCTGCTGAATTTAGTAAGCTTATGTCGTTTTGTTTTGTCAGCTTTCCTGACTACTCTGTTCCTCTTAGTGTTGATGGTATTTCAACCGAAGGAATCCAGACTGACTCTTGGGAGATCGGAATCCTGACGATGAGGAACAATGACTTTGAGATTTTGTCGAACTGGTTGGTGACAAATCATAAGCTGAATAGAAGAAAGATGACAAAACTCTGAACATCACTCATTCAGGTTACAAACAAGCCCCATGGTTTTACGGCAGAATACCAGTTCACAATGAGAATAACCTACCCCTCTATCCGCATACATCCACTACACATTCTCAAGAGTACATCGGTCATTAGAAAGAAGACTTCTCATGCGTATTAGACAAAAACTGAGTCAATGTTAGTCATATCGTTCAATCTCAAGGGAGACCCAACTGCGCCTCAATGATTCTGACTTGTCATATCCTTACCAAAGAAAGAGCTTCAATAGATACCTTGTAAAACCGTCTACAGTCTCAAACATGGAGCCACCTGTGGTATTAAGTGGCTCACTTTTCATCGTCTGAATATATTTTCGACTTTCTGAAGAGGCTAAAATAAAATCTACCCTAAAATGGTGCAGTCTGCGATTATTTTGTTTCACTAAGTTACTCGATTCTACTCAGTATAATGATGACAGTGCATAATTTGCCCATGATTCACGGAACAGTATTATCGTGCAGACTGATGCAAATGACCTTTTAGCCGATGGCTTCTTAAGACCACTGTGAGTTATAATCTGTCATCAGAAAACCATGTAAGTCAATCAGTTGATAAGTATCAGTATGTAGGCTGTATACACCGTTTGCAGTCGAAGGAATTATGATATCTGAGTTAATGTTAGCATCAAAATAACATACAAATACTCGTAAATGAAAACTTTTATATTATATCTGTCCAAACCATGCTCACTTCTAAAAATTTGAAAAAGCTTTTGGGAATTGGGTATATGATATTCATTATTATAAACGTTTCTATATTTCCCAATGAACGCCATCTCTCTATTTAATGTTTCCATATAGCTCTACAAAGTATTATTAAATCAGAATTAACGAAATCTCAGCTAATATGTAACAACTTAATCACCGTTCATCAACATGAGGTGGTAATTTTTACGTTGTTGTCAATTTGGCCAATTAGTAAAGATAACAAAACCATGCGTAGATGACTGTTGGATTTGATAAGTGTATAAAATTATAAAAGCAACATGTGTTTACGTAATGAAATTGCTTATCAGATTCGTGCTGACTCTGTCATTTCATGGGGAACAGGGGTTGCTCTCACCAGGTCAAATTCTGTTTTAGTCCATCATTCTTATTCAGACAATTTGGATTCCATTTAATGTGAAGTGCTGGTATTAGATGGTTGGAAGCAATCGGTAGGAAGCCTTTGACTTAGGTCTCTTGCTGGTTGGCACCCGTCAGCAAGACGTATCTGCGACCTTGAAGGAGCTCCTGTAGAAAGTCAACCGCGAGCATGAATAGCTCAGTGGTAACATCTGCGACTTCAGTGCTCAGTTACGTGGGTTCGAAACTTCGTTTTTTTTATTATGGCTTGATGCCACACCATATTTTCAGTACAAGTATGGAATTTTCAGCATGGATATCGGTAGCCCAAATTTCGCAGGCCAACCATAGATATCGGTTGTGCGTCGGCAGGGGATCGAACCCCGGACCATGTGCATGGTCGGCGAGAGTTTTAACCACTGTGCCACTGACGCAGAGAAGAGACATGAGTTCCTTCAAGGTGACTGCAGATACGCCTTGCTGACGAGTGCCAGCTAGCATCAAAACCTAGGTCCAAGACTTCTTGCCGATTGTCTCTAACAATCTAATGCCAAAAATTCAAAGCGCACCATGATGGCGAGCCACCCAGGATGATGACCACATTGAGAAATTGACCGATCGAATTCAGTCTGCACCTAAGATAGAACTAGACACATTATACCAGTTACAAAGTGCATCTGATGATGTTAGACATTCTTTTTCATTTCTGAAATTTTTATGGATGATTCCAATATTGTCAGAATCAATTTTATGACCTGATTCTATAGCATAGTGTGCAAACCTATGGCTGATGATTTTTCAAGCTTTACTAGTTCAACAGGATTTCTCGCTGGCTGAGTAGATGCTCTGCAGTATTCATTTCTGCTGATTACCTTGATTTTTCTCCAAAATTTATCCAATATACATCGAGGATCACATTTCAAGCATTTTATTTTATTGACACAGTTCGATTGTGAATCCTTTGCAGTTTTGTCTTTTATATAGAAAAGATTGCTTTGTTTTGAAAAAAATCGACTGAAGAACAATGGTATGTTCTTATATATATAAACTGAGATTTTGTAATTTCTGGTTTGATATTACTTCTATGATAAAGCTATTAGCAAAAGTTAATAGCAAAATGTCAGTAAAAATAACAATATCATTGTGGACTACAAAGACTTTTATAGCAATGAATATCGATGTTTCATTTTCCTAACGTGCGTCTAGCACCTATTGACTTAATCCTTAGTAATTGTCTTTGTTCCTGTTTAATCTCTAATATTAACGCTTCTCTTTGTGGTTCTGTGTACATCAATTATGCATTGTTTTACGATTGGATTTTTTTTTTTGAGTGAATGGAGATCATTCTGACCTTGAACTCTCCGTCGAAAGAGTAGGTGTGTCTGATTATTGTGGACAAAGTTTTGATCCCACCTTTTTGAGAATATTGTACCTGATTCTCAGGTGCTTCTTACAGTTGAATTTCTGTAGTACTGAGTTTCTGATGTTAATTTTTTGTTGCATAAAACCACAGAAATTCGACGAGGAATAACCTTCTGTTTGCTGCCTTAGGAATATTTTGTGATTACGCGTTTCTCTAGAAAGTATCGAACAGCTTTACAGTAGGACACAAAGATCGACTCACTGCATTCAAACTATAACAAACGGTGGATTCTGTTGTTCTTGTTTTTGTTATAAGATTGTAGAACGCAGTAGAGAGGTAGCTTTTGACCTAAATGGCTTTCACTAGTGTAGCAAGGCGTGTATCTGCATTGTTGAAGGAATAATTCATGTCTCTTCTGAGATTCGAAACTACATCACCCAGTTCTGCAGTCAGACACATTGACCTGTTGGATAAAAGGTAGTAATTAGTGTCATTTGTGTAGACCTTGGTGTCGATGAATGCTAAATTCTATCAGTCAAGTTTACAATGTGACTACCATGCTACCAGCTGACTGTCCATAACTGCTTCCTGCTAAATACCTCCAACTACTGAATAACATGCACCATTATATCATGATTCCATAACTAATATCGTTTCATGACAAAATCCACGTTGAATCTACTCCAAATCTCTACGAAACTCAAAATCTGAACATAAATTTTCTTTTCGCCATCCATTAGAATGATTGTTAAGAAAGGAGACAAATTATTCACAATGTGCAAATACGTTTACATTTGCTTACCATTGTCGATGAATTAACCCCATAATTACTGAATCTTTTGTTAGAGAATGACTTCGAAGCAGTTTACACCAGTTAACCAATGATTGACTAGTAATATTACCATTATTGTTATTATTATTATTGTTCTTGTTATTTTCTATAAGACTCGATGGTTTCACTCCTGGTATACTTAGCGAACGATTATATTTCAATTTTCGTGTATCCAAAACCACTAAATCGATAGGCTGTGAAGGGGGAAGAAGAAAAAATAAATTTAGAAAAAAATAGTCCACTTCAAAATAGAAGTTGACAGTAAAGTATCGTAAACAAAGGCATAATTAAACATTTCAGTTACACAGTAGTGCCTAATTACAATGATGAGAGATATTTTCGCTGCGGGATAGTGTTTAATTGGTAGACTATTGTTGGTGTAATGGATGGTGGGTGACTGTCTGTGGTAGAATGAAAATCTCCGACATGGTAAGATTAAAGTCAGCAGTCTCCAAGATACCAGTCCTATGCAGTCAGCATGAGTAATGTACAACTTGGAAATAAGAACAAACAGTTCAGTGAAGTGTCTTTTTTCGGTAAATTCATCCACTTAGCTGTACAATTCCAATTATATATAATTATTATTGTGTGTGTGTGTGTGTGTTCATTACGTCTGTCGAACAAGGATAAAAATTAGTTTAGGCTATTAATCAAACTAGCTGAGAAGCATTTCATGATCTCTGAGATGAACATTCCCCTCAGAAACGTTAAGAACAATGTTCTCCAGTCGTCCATTGGTCTGCAGAAGCCTTGAGGACTTGATATCGCTCCTAACCACTTCTGTGTGCATGCATATATCAGTTCATCTGTTACTGTGGAGTCAAGCATATTGGTCGTTCGATGAGCATCTTATGTAGAAAGGGTTGAAGAATACTATCCCGAATGGCTGCAGAAATGTAGTAATGGGTCTATGAGGAATGCGATAATCGAACACCCTATCAACACTGGTCATTCTATCTCAACAAACGCCTGCTTCAAAGTAATCTACAAAGTGAAGAATAACCTGCCAAAGACAGTAAATACGCTTTCATCCCCTTAGCCATTCAGATAGCGAACCCAGAGATATGCTTGCAAAATAAAATTATTCAACTGCATCTATTGTCATGGTAGCAACCTCGTTGATTTCTACTGACTTGAGTTTTTGTTTGTTTGTTTGTTCGTTTTTCTATCTCCTTATTACTCTTGTATTTCTTTAGAACTCTCATATAATTTTAACGTTTTCTTTCGTTTCTATGTGAATCCTGACTACAACTCATCCACTGAATCATTCGTCTTATTGCGTAACTCCGGTACACTTATTCAACTCGTCTTATACATTGACTGACATTAACAACCATGATTGTCACAACTCATCGCTTTTGTTATTTTCCTCTTTCATGAAGAACTGTATAATAAATGCTAACATTTCCACAAAATCACCAATTTATTTGATTTTTTTAGACTGTCGACAGTGCATATCAAAGTAGACACCAAAACAAACTTGACTGTCAGATAGCTCAGTGTTCAGATCTTACTTGTGTGTTAATTAAATAATCTGAGTCACCGCAAATACCATAGTCTGAATATCAAGCTCCAGCTCATCGATGGCTACCGGATAGATGTCCCGAAACTGTGTGATGAAAAGCTGTGAACAATGGACTCCACCGTGTCAAGGTGAGGTGGACAGTCATCTAAGGCATTGGTTCACAGTAGCGTCATAATATGAAATGACGAAGGTAGAGTTCACGAGTCACTGAATTCCGGCTCAAGTGGCTACCGAAAGGCTACCGAAAGAAACCTCTATCATTATATTGCACATAATTTCCCTTATCGAGTTTGCTTAAATCTAGTAAAATGGGACTTCTCATAGTGTTATTTACTCTGGCGATTATTTTAAGTGTTTACAACCTACTGATTCGCGAGTTTCTATTAAACTTGAGAAAAGGCCTGATCGTGGGTGGCTACGTATCTCAATACGTGAGATAACTGCCCCCAAGGTATGTCCTTCGGTCTCAAAATGTACTCCTGTATTTTTCTAATTTGCTTTCAACCAAATGTCATGGATTCATCTAAGGAGACAAAGAATAAATACCATAACGGATTAGGTCAGATAGCATTGTGTGACAGGATCTTTTTTCAGTTATTATTTTATCTGAAGATCTAGTACAAAGTACAAAAGTACATCATGTAATAAACCCAATGAAAATTCTGGATGATTATTACTACTCATTATTAATAAATCTTTGAAACGTACTTGTTGTAATTCAACTAATTTCTCAATGAAATTCTTTTCAACATCCTTTGATGATGCATTCTCCACGCATGTATTGATCAATGTACAATTGTGTTTTAATTGTTGCGCGGCTTCAATCATCAGTTGAGTTTGTTTATCACTTCGAGGGAAAATTAATACAATCTGAAAGGAAAGAAAAGAAAGACAGTGGGAGATGAAAATTCTACTCAGAACAAAATATCAGCAACATCAGTGTGAATAAATTGATAACAAGTGGAATCGTACTAGAAATTCCAAATGTACACATCACGTAACAGGCAGAAAAGGAAAAAAACAGTATGCGATTACACTAGCCATGAGCTGACATACTACTGGGATGCCCAAAAACAAACAGGTGGTTGTCCTAGTGGACCATTCGCTCACTAGGTCTTTGAGTTGAAGTCTGATCTACAAGGGAGTGGAGCAGCTACGTCCCCAGGTTCGTTTGCCATTCAATCTATTTGCATTCTGCAGACCATGTACACTACCATAGGTTTAGGACCAGCGTTTTCCAGCTACTCTAAATACATCTACATGTTACCAGTCCGCTTGTAGACTCCAGACATTAAAATATGCCCTTTTGATTTCTTGAGAAACGTCCCCACTGTGTAGAGGCCGCGAAGTGGTTGTTGCTATACACAAAGATATCGGCCATGATTGAGGATATTGATAATCCATCCCAATGCTACGAACCTGAAAGAAACAACCTCTTTTACCTACCCGGGAAGCATCGTTTCAACTACAGACGGAGTAAACTGACGAGGATATCAAAGCAAGAATCGGAAAAGCAAGACAAGCTTTCACTACTCTCAAGTCTGTGTGGAGGTCAACAACACTCAGCATCTAAAATAAGATCCGGATTTTCAACTCCAATGTGAAGTCAGTGCTACTCACTATACGAATCAGAGACGGCGCGTCATAAAGAGCATCTCAAACAAACTGCAGACCTTCATTAACAGTTGTCTTCGCTCACTACTCAAGATCAGATGACCGAACAGAAAAGATCAGTAACAGGGTGGGATCTCTAGCAATGAGCGAACCAACCCAGCGGGAACCGATTGTGAAACAAATAAGCAGGAAGAAATGGAGATGGATTGGCTGGCCATACTCTGAGGAAACCATCAAATGACATCATTAGACAAGCAATCGCTCGAGTGGAACCCGAACGGGAAGCGGCGAGTTGGTCGTCAGTGCGAGGGTGACGTGGATGAGGTCATGTGAAGAGGAGGTGAAAGCATATGAGCAGACTTGGAGCCAGGTGAAGACTCTAGCAGAGAACCGAACGCAATAGAGACGCACGGCTGAAGCCCTATGTTCCTCTAGGAATTAAAGGAAACAATAATAATAATAATCCCATTGCTACAACTTCTGTTTGTCTATATATTTCGCCCTGAAATTTAAAGATAGTAGACATCAGGTAGCATGACTGAATTCTTAAAATAACTTCTTCAGTGAGTAGCTTTGTGCTATTGTAACAGCAGAAGGCAAGACATGGAAGCCAAGGTATATTTTTCATTATTCAAACCGCTATTTATATATCTACAGTTTATATTCATTAAACAATCACTGAGCGTGTGATTTTGGTTTGCATTAAACGACATGAAGTAGAATGTTCAAATATACATAGTATTCTGTTGCTAACGCAGTATCAAACTTTGGGACTATGTGAGAATCATATTCCGTTGGAACACATAGTCCGTATTACACCATTACAAAAAAAGGTATTATTATTATTAATAATTTCAGGATCAGCTATATCCGAGTTAGAGGATATCATCATGAGCTGATATCAGTTAGAGAACCATTGGAAAAACACCTTGGAGTACTGGACAGCTGTTCCCTACGTCCTAGTTTGGGACTATTTAGTAGTACGTACCCACCACAGCAGGTTCGAACCCAGGACCTTCTGGTTACAAGGCTAGCGAGCTCGTAGACCATTCAGCAGCTACTAGGACCCGATTCAATGGCCAGCCCATGAATTCTAATTTCTGCCAATTCATGACATAGCGAGACCACTTCACATAGTCTTCTTCCATGAGTTACTGCCTCCCATTCAAACTGCTGTACTCTACTAGTCACTGCCTGAATAGGAACAGTCGCTAGTGAGCATCAGATCAATTTTTCAAGTTTTGGTTTTTGTAGGGATCTAGTCAGCTCATGATGAAATCCTCCAACCAATCTAACCAAATGTCTACAAAAACCAATGCTTGAGAACCTGAGGTACTCATACAACTTTCTGATTTGAGATCAGCAATAAATAAATTGGGCTGGAAACGTAAACAGCAGTAAATATTACCACTGTATGATAATACTGTGAGACTTTATCAAAATGAATTTTCTCCATAATATAATTATACTCTATCACAATACCTAAGCTTTATTCTTATATCAATGAAAATTCTACCTTTGAACAAGATATCAGCGGGAGAGAATCGATTGCAAAAGGAATTGTAGCAGAAATTCCACGTGCACACACATCACAAAAAAGAAGAGGGATTAGGTATGCGAGTACACTAAATGGTGTACACAAACACACATGCGTATTTCACATAGTACGTAACTTTTCTTATATTCATGTGTTGTCTTCAGAGAGAGAGGGGGAGAGGATGGCAGACAGAATGGCATTTCCATCCACAAATCAAAAAATTAATACTCGGCTATACTTGTCGACCTTTTAGTTACCACATAGTGTGATTTGATTGTGTCATAAATTTAGTATTAAGTCTAATCTATCATATGGTTTGTTTCCTTCATTTCATATACAGACAAACAACCAAAGAGGATCACATACGGACTATCTATCCGTCCAATTAGTTTACATATTAATCAGAACAAAAAATCCCACACTCTGCAAGAAGTGAAAATATCAGCGTTCTACTTTCTTTTAAACTTTTTATTCAGTGACATGTAAGTAAGTAGTGGAGAAAAGTGTAAACCGTAGGAGTTAGGCAGTTCTAACACATCATTACTGTTTGGATTAAAAATCAAATAATACACAAAATTAGCTTATTAAAATCAATTACAGATTCAAATAACCTGAGCTACAACTATTTGTGATCAATGGACATTTCCGTTTACCCCAGATCTTTATCAATCTCATTTAACAGCTGCTGTATGAAGACAAAGTCATGTGTCAAATGATTTATTTATTATTCCCTTGAGTTTCGAGTGGAATACAGGGCTTCAACAACACATCTCCACTTTGTTCTGCTTTCTACCGTCCTCTTCAGCTGGATCCATGATTGGCGAAACTCTCTCATCTCATCCTCATACGATCTACCCCATGTCACGCTCGCACTGGAAACACACTCGTCGCTTCCCACTCGAGCAACGGCCTGGTATGCGGTGTCATTCGGTGGCCTCCCCAACGTTTGCCCTATCCATCTCCACTTTCTCCTACATATTTCTTCGGCGATCGGCTCGTGGTTGGTTTGTTTCCATAGTTTCTTGTCACTTAAACTTTCCGATCAGCCATTTGATCTTCAGTGTGGAGTCAGCGAAGACAGCTGTTGATGAAAGTCTGCAACCTTATGGAAACGCTTTTCGTGATACGCCAAGTTTCTGACCTGTATAGAAGAACCTACTTGACATTGGTGTTTAAAATCCGAATCTTGTTCCTTATGCTGAATGCAGTGCAGAAGATTTCTAAACTGGTTTCAGGTTGATGAAGGCGTATCTTGCCTTTCCGATTCCGACTGCCTTTGACATCTTCATCTGTTCCACCTGTAGTTGAAACGATGCTTCCGAGCCAGATAAGTGAAGGAGGCAACCTTTGTAAAATCTCTCCTGTTGATGGTGACTGGTACTGGTTGTTAATTCTGTTGATTGGTTATCTTCATCACCTCCATCTTCTCTGTGTTCACCTGCAGTCCTGTTTTCGCTGCCTCTTCGCTGCCAGTTTGTTGGTTTTCGCTTGCGAGTTTTCGAGTTTGTCAAATGAACAACAACGGAAAATTGAGTGAAGTCTATGAAGTGAAGACAGTAGTGAGAAAAGGTTGTCTGCTATCGCCTACAATGATACTCCTAAATGAGATGCACTGGATTATTCAGAACACTGAACGTGGGGGAGCGAGAAGACAGGAATGCATTCGACCTATAGAGAGGCTGTACAAATTAGGTCTACTTCTCACTCGGTGCCCAATTATTTTAGAACTATTCTGTCAAATCTTGATCACAGTTCATATGAGGCTGTTGAAGATCTAAATTTTGAGTATTATCTCTGGTTAGTTTGACACAGACTCGACGGTCTATAGACGAAAACCAACAAGCTGCCAGAAGAGGTAAACAGCAAATATAGGACTTCAGATGAACACAGAGAAGGTGAAGATGATGAAAATAACTAGCCACCTTCAACAAAATCATTTTAAAACAGGTCACTTCCTCCACTTATATAGACAGTACCGCTTCAACTACAGGCGATAGCGGGGATGAGGATATCAAAAGAAGGCTTGGAAAGGCAACAGAAACATTCATCACTCTAAAATCATTTTGGAACTCTTCTGCAAAGTCAGTCACCAGAATGGACACTAATTCCATTAATGGTTCCAGGTACGCTTCCGGACGATTTCAAACTAGCAATAAACCCAGATCCATGGTTCCCTCTGAATTGGATTTGATATTCATATTGATGATCTACATCAGGAATGGCAAGTCAGTCACCTAAGGTGGTGATCACATTGCTAACGTAACTGACAGAATCAAGGCAGCACCAGCATCAAGAGCTAAACACATAGAATTCAATACTCTCCAGTAAACATCAACAATAAATTATGTTTAAAACATCATCCAGTAAAAGAATATTACTTGAAGTGTTGGTTTGCAGGGATTTGATTGGATAAAGGTTTGTTAACGAGCTGACATAATTTGAAGAACCATTGGAATACCAGGGAATACTGGATAGCTGTTCCGTTAGCCTAATTCTGAAATCCTTAGTAGTACGTACCCACCGACGGAGTTCGAAACCCGGGTTTTCAGTTTCACTTTCACTTTGTAATATATCCAACGGACAAATTAATATGTAATTTCACACTACTAGTGTCCAGTTTTACTCGGAGATATGTATTAAAATACCTAACTATTTCTATCTGTGACTAGTGAAATGGACACAGTGCTTGGTAAATCTCTCCTGAACGAACTACGTATAT